AGCTTTGATTTGTTAGCCTCTCTACGCGGAGAAATATTGACAGAGGAAAACACAAAAAAAAAGAAAAAAATGATGGGCTATTTAAAACATTTTAACCTTGGTGTGGGAGGGTGGCTAAATGAATGCCCTATCAACTATAACTGGCTCTCTACTTGTTCGTCCGTCTGTCAGTCTCTGCTTCTATGTGTGTGTGTGTGTGTGTGTGTTTCCGTTACGAGCAATTTGCATTCAAAAATTTATATGTTTGCCTGTAATTACCTTTGCATAGGAAAAAGTTAGTAATCGTTGCATACGCATTGCCCCGCAAAAAAAAAAACAACAACAACCAACCCCCGCCACCCTGCCGCCCTACCTCCCTCCATGACTCCATCACCCCGCCCACCAGCATACTACAGCTATATAGCCATAGCTATAGTCATAATCAAAAATCAAATTAAATGGAATTCGTTTCAAGTACACGGCACTGGGCACTGTGTGCGGCGATGTTAATTGGTCGTGCGGCCAATGAGAAAAAAAAACCACACACATACACACACATAGCCGACTACTACAAATACTATCTATTGGCAACACACACACACAACCAGAGACACACACACAGATGTACACAGCCACAACAAACAGACAATTGTGTTTTCCATAAATTAAATATTTTTCAATGTTTAACTGCAGCCGCAATGATGGGCAGTGGACGGATGGACGGGCGGGTGGGTGGTTGGTTTGGTGGAGTTAGTTGTGGGCTTCGGCATGAATTTGGCAGGTTTTTTCTATTATTGTTTGTTTTTGTTGTCGCTGCCGTTTTTCTAATGTTTTTCTATTTTTTTTTCCTATTTTTTGCTCATTTTTGTTTGACACGCTCGAGTGTGCATTAAATCAAATTTGATGCCCTACGGAAATAATGGAGATTATCGTTGGAGCTCTACTGACTGCCTCTTTGTACGCATTTTGTGAATGAATCTTTTTACGATTATTATTTTTGTGCACACTCTGTCTAAAGGCCTTCTACGTCCGTTCACATCATATGCAAATTGCATTCCTTTCCAGCTTCAAAGTTTTGTAAAACACTAGCGATAACATTGTCGTATTTAGCTGTGGTAGGATAGATAGATCGATAGATCCGAATAGAACTAGCTATGTATTCCAATGTAAGTTTAATTTATAAGGGAATGAATTCTCCTGAAGTTCTTAGTGCTGGCGAAGACATTTTTATTTCCTTCATTATTTTGGAACTTTGCCTAAATGTGAGTAACTATTTATTTAACATATTACCACATTAAAAGATGCATATCTTTTTAGTAGTCCCGAAAAAACTAAAATAATTAAATCTACGATTTCGGACGGGCAAAAAAGCCTGCTATTAACTGCAAAGCTTGAAAAATTGGTTGTAAATGGTTATTGTGCGCCCACGAGAGTGAACAAGTTTTTTTTTTTTTTCAAGAAGAGCACCAAATTCTAAATAAGGCCTCAAATATACGTCAAAGACAATTAAAAATCAAGCACTTGTTTTTTTTATAGATTCAATGCAAAGAACTACAAATTTGTAAACGTCTCTTTCATATTTCGAAAGTATTTCAATAACAATATGAAAGGAAAAAACAAATGTACGAATAATAGTGCGTGAAACTGTTTATAAGATCATATAATTGGTTGTTGGTTTTAATGATGTTTTAAAGATTCTTGAAACAAAACCATTTTTTACACTGGCTACGTAGGGCTATATAGGGCTGTTAATTGGCTTGTCTAGCTTCCGTAGGCTTACAAGGTTATCTAAGTTTTCTCCACAAAATTAGCTATTCGGCGATAATCAAACGATATTCTAAATTTGTTTAAATGTTGCTCCGGAAACGGATCTTAGTCGAAAAATTTAATTTGTTCAAACAAATAAAGAGTGAATAAAATCCGTGCGAGACAATATAATGATATTCCTGCAAGGAATTTAGATTGGATCGAACAACTGTTCACGTCCGATTTCTGCATAGGATTAATCACACAGTTTGTAGAAATAATATCAAATCGTAAAGTTATTTACATTGCATAAAAACACATGCGGCGGTACTCTATTTGATTTGACAAGTTTTTGAAAAGGTCGTTCCGTCAAGTTATTAAAATTCGATTAAGATTGCTCTACATATAAGAAATCTTATCTACATCACTTGCTGGATTTACCACTTCTAGTCATAATTGTAATCAAAAAGCAGCAATCCAATGAATGATCAGCGCGGAAATTAGCACTATGTAGAAGAAACAAAATGTAGATATGAACAATGTGCTCTACAAATTAATAAACAAATGACGCTTACGTACATTATAATCAAAATTAATCAGCTTTAACATGAGAATCGGTTGGAAAATGTATTTTAACTATTCTATACTTTAAGCCAAATCGGCATTCCGTAGCTATCAATGGAATTTTAATTTTATTTAAAAACTGTTTTGCAGAGGAAATCAAAATGGCTTAACTTGACATTCGTAATGCTCAAAGGGTATTGTCTGGTATTAATCGCACAAGCAGACCATCCTAATGAAAGGCATAGGAGATATCGGCCTATTTTGCAAATCATTCTTCGCTATTAAAGGAACGATCAGGCTAAATAAATAAATGTATTTTTCATATTAGAATGAAATTAGGTACTCGGTACGATCTGAGTAAGAATTTTATTTTGCCTTTGCAATAAATATTTCAATTTACTTTACTACAAAGTATGAAACGATATTAAAGCATTCAAACAGATTGAAATATGGCTCTGGATACCCTTTTTATTTTAAACAAAATATGGACTTTATAAATATTTCTAGAATCGTTAGATGTTTGTGAAATCGCACCATTATATATTACATACTACTTGTTGGACATACATAGTACTTATTTGTAGATGCGATTGTTCTAAGCTCACTTCAAATCTACTATATACTTATAGTATAGCTGCAATAGGAATGATATGTTTATACTACAAATTTCCATCTGAGCAACAACTTGGAAGAAACAACGTTGTTTCGAGCTGTTCAGTTTTAATTTATTAATAGACTGCTTTCAGCTGCAGGGTGCTGCTTAGTCGGATTGGTCTGGCCATAGCATTCGATGTGTGTTGTGCCCTTCGAGTTGGAAAGTCGCTTGAAATTGCCAATGAGAATTTTCTGCTCAATTTTTGTTTTTATTGCGCACGCTCCACTACTTATTGTTTCCTTTTAACTGCTCGATGCCGGTAAATTCAATTTTATGCATACATACATATATGCAAATATACATACCTACTATATGTGCAATATATAGTCGTATATTCGTATGAGCTTCATTGTTTTCATTTAAAATTCACAGCCGATTTTTGCGATCTATTTCCCCCACTTATTTTCATTCAGTGAGAGTTTTTGTTTGCAATTTCAATTAATTGGAGAGCCCACGACGAATTTTGTTAAAGGCCGCGTACCTATAACAATGAAAATGTGTGTCACACATCCACACACAGATCCACACACACACACACACAAATCCAGAACTACAACAACAGCAATACAAGTATATGAAACACCTTAAAGATATATAGATATACATATGCGTAAAGACTCTATTATGTGAGGAGGAGGAGGAGGAGGGTGAGGAAGGGAAAAGGGGGAGGCGGGACTGTTCTATTGCATGCATCACTTGTCCACTCAACAACACCTCCCCCTCCCCCTGCCCCCACCCCACTAGACAGCATCTTTGCTTTGCGCAATCTTAATGCATTTGACATGTGAATTAATTGCGCAATCTTGGCATGTTATGGAACATTGGGAACTGGGGATTGGGTGTGTTTTGGGTCTATCGGAGTGTTCGATGAGGGGTGGGGGGTGGTGTGGTGTGCGTTGGGCTTCCTAATCGATAGATCACGACTTTCCAATAAACACGATTAACTAAATCAATTCTCGAGGTAAATAAATCATACATTTTCGTCGTACGAGTAGTTGTTGCAAGTTGTTGCCTTGAACAAATTCGTATATAAACTAATAAATCAAAATTTAACAATAACTTGTACGTAGGTACACACACACTCACACCCATGCACATGTAGATATGTACTGTGTAGTAATAAACACACACACATACTATATACATACATGTGTACATATATCTGTTGCTAGTTGAGGTCTATTTGGCAAAATACTTTATCGCTGGGTGTTAATTACAGCCTAACGCCTTTCGATTCCCACTGGCTCCTCGCCTCGCCAGCCCTAAGCCACAGATACTCGTATGTTGAATGGGACCAGTTTTATGTACAAATAAGCTTTTGAATTTGAGGAAACCACTGCGAAGTCCAAATAAATTATTTCTGTTTATACATTTGTACTTCTTCATACACACACACACACATTATATATAGATAGATATATACTCGTCTATGTATGCTTAGTGTGTATGTTTATGTTTGTACGTGAAATGTTGATTTAGTCTCTAATGAGCATATCACAAGAGTTAGAAACTTGATACAGATTGGCGTCTGTATGTACGAGTATGATGTATTTTAATTCTTTCCTTAAAAGTTCCTATAAACATTACTCACAACAATCGCAGACTTCAAAGTCGAAGTCGCATCATCAGCGGAAGCTTATATAAATATAATATACTCGTACATGCATATGTATAAACAGACTCAATATTAATGGATCTTATGCATAAGTTATGGGTACACACATACACACACACACACACAAACTATATGCAATATTTGATAACAATGGGGGATATACGAGAGTACTCGAAAATTTGTTTACAGCATATATGTACTTGTACACTTATAGGGCTATTGGGGTTTCTTAAAAAAAAAGGAAGCCCCTAAAAACAACTGAACTCATGCATACACACTATATAAACATATGTATATACATAGATACATACATGCGTATGTATATGTTTGCATAAAAATTGCAGACCTATTTGAATACTGATAACTAAATCAAATCATCACATGCGAGAGGTGTCTGTTAAATGGAATGGGATCTTAACTGCACGGCTTTTCAATTTGCAGGTGGACGACATTTTTGATGAATACCTTCCAAGCGAGCCCTTCAATTTTGACAAGAACTTCGGCTCAGAGTTGTCCATCAAGCAGGAGCCGCAGAGCTTGACGGATGCCGAAATAAATGCGCTGGCAAAGGATCGGCAAAAGAAGGATAATCACAATATGAGTAAGTTTCGAGGAGATAGTGTGTACATAGCTCTCCAGCAAGGCTTATATATCCATCGATATTGTTTCAGTTGAAAGACGGCGACGTTTCAACATTAATGATCGCATCAAGGAGCTGGGCACCCTCCTGCCCAAAGGCAGTGAGGCGTTCTATGAGGTTGTCCGCGACATAAGACCCAACAAGGGTACTATACTTAAATCATCCGTTGACTACATTAAATGCTTGAAACACGAAATATCTCGCTTGCAAAAGAACGAATGCCGTCAGCGACAAATGGAGGTTCAGAATCGAAAGCTCATATCACGCATTCGGGTAAGCGGAACGGCTCAAATCTGATTATTATTTCCCACATCATCTCTACAATTGATTGTCCTTTATTGCAGGAGTTGGAAATGCAAGCAAAATCACATGGCATTCCACTGTCAGACTACAATCTGACCTCAGTGTCGGCACCCACGCCTGCCAGCTCCTATTTAAAGAGCACTAGTCCCACACTATCCGCCGTAGAAAGTCGCCACTCCACGCCACTGATAGATGATGTTGTCGATGGCAAGGTAAGTGATTCGAAAACTTATCGGACTCTGAAGCCATTGATCCGCATAGGTTCTTCATGTACAAGTATCTCTTGGCAAGCAACGCTGTCGACTTATAGAAAAACATTATAATAGAACACTTGTAGGTTAAAAGGTAAACAACAAATTATAAGTCTGCCATGCGACTTGAACTAGAATTGGACTTTTGGGGGGAATTTTCATTTCAGCATTCAAAGAGAATATTAAGAATATAAAAGAAGAAATTGAAATTAATAAGAAAATAAAAGAGCTGCAAAAATGAAATCACAAACACAATTGTGTGAATTAACAAGAGAGAATGTCTATCTGTCTATCAAGCCTGTCTCCACGTTGTTATATGAAGACGGATGAAGAGTAGTTGAATAGTACTTCTGGGGTGAAATTGATTCGCTAATAATTTGTCGTGGGGTTAACCGATTTGGACGAAACTTGAAGTAAAGGAAGTCAATTGCATATCATTTAGTTTTAGGAGTAGGAAAATGTAGTAAGCTCGTGTTCCCCAGGGACTATTAGATCGATTTGTCTTATATTGCTGATTGTGGAGTCGGAAATGTTTCCTTCTGCTTTCTACGTACTTTACACAAGCCTAATAAAAAAGGTAAAAAAGTAATATGGGTGTTTAAATTATGAGAACAAGAACCCATTCCCACTCAAATCAACATAAACTTGACCGACCTGCCTAGGACTTAAGTAAATATAGTTGGGAATACTAGCTTTTATATTTTTCAAGATACACACGGAACAACAGACGGACAGGCGGATATCGACTACGCCTTCTTCTGCACTTAACTAGTATACCCTTTTACCCCATCGCATCGTCTACTATCTCTCATGCATCTCAAAATTTGAAGACAGAACTTAATGCTTTGCTTTTTTCTTCTTTATGCTTCTTTATGCAGCTTCCAGTGATAAGCAGCGAACCTAGTCTGGGCATGAACCAAATGGACGAGCTCATGGAGGACAAACATCCGATGCAGGTGCAGGGTGGGGATCCTATGTTGTCATCGCACAGCAGCCATCTGCTGTCGGCCCCCCACTCGCCCACGGCGGCCCAGCTCCAATATGCGAGCAACAGCTTTGGCGGCAAGGGCAGCTCAGAGAATGGGGTGCTCTACAATGGAGGGGGTGGTGGGGCGCATCTCATCGACGATCTGCACAGTTGTAGTGGAGCGAGCAACGGCAGTTGCTGCAACGTGGGTTGCGGGACGGCCAGCAGCAGCGGCTGCTGCAACCATCGGCACCATCACCACACCATGAATCAGCACCACCACAATCACAGCCACAACCATAACCACGGTCATGGCAGCCATGGAAGCAACAGGCACGGGCACAGAGAGAGCAATCAGTCCAATAACATTTTGGACATGCTCGCCCATGATCCCTTGCTCTCCTCATCGCATCGTTCGCATGTGGGTGGCGTCGATGACGATCCACACGCGTCCGTAGATTTGTCGGCGGCCATTATAAATGATTCGCTTTCGCTCGTCGACGAGGCACACAGCGAGCCCATGCTCCTCTCCCAGGACTCTCTGGGCATCGACCTCTGAGTGTTGCACTCGGAATGGGGAGCACAAATCAAAACTAAAACTAAAAATGCAGTGAACACAACAAAGTCGCACTTTTTCTATGCACCAGTTCAAAAAACAACAACAACAACAACAACAGATGAAACAACAAGGAAACAATATAGGTCCCTAAGTATTATTGATCGCCGAAGCTAGCCAAAACAAACAAAACGGTTTTCGGTTGTTGCTATACAAAATATACACACATAGTTACATATGTACATATATACATCTATGTATGCATGTATGTGTGTGTATGTGGATATGTGTGCTTGTATCCAGCATACATACATAAATAGATCATTTTTCTGTACTGTACAACGTTAAGATATTCGTTAATTAGATTTAATCACTAGACAAATGTCACAATCCTTTTTGGTTCTGATTTCAATGCATCATAAACCTAAGCATCAAGCTTATAATACGTACAATACATACGTACAAACTTACATACATACATACATACATATACAATAGAAAAAAGCTAAACATGCGTATCTACAAATTTTTTATACAGATCGCCATCGATCCGGTGCCAAAAACAAAAAACAAAAAAAATTACAAATCGGTCCTATCCCAAGTGCCTTTTAGATACATACTTGTATATGTATAACACATACATGGATGGAACCTTGTAGACAATATTATACTTCGTTGAAATTTGCTCAATTACTATGCATATACATACATCTATGCACATATGTATGTATGTATATATATATATATATATATACATATATAGAGATGGAGTGGTGCACACCATCATTGGGAACCACTCGGAATTGTACCAAGCGTTTATACGAAGCCAGAGATGATGAGTTGATGTTATGGAGTGTTTATTTAAGATGATCCCATCCGATCGATCCATCAGTTTGTTCGATTTCAGCTCACTCTCACGATATATTGTAGCATCGTTTAAACGTACTTACACATACATAGATAAGCACAAATGCAAACAAACACAATACATACACACGCACAATGTCTATGTAGATAGATCATGCATTCCAATGAATATACATAGTATACCGGCTATTTGCTCAGTTTGAATTGTAGCCTAAGCGTCCTCTTGTACTTATCTTCATTTACTTGTATTCAATATTTAACTGTAGTCTCCGAGTTTCTCTTTCCTACACACACACACACACACAACAACAACAACAACCACAAAAACAACAAGCGCGTGCATAATAAAATCCAACAAGTTGCTTCTTTAGCCATTTTTGCATGAAGTACGAACGTTACGTATGTATGTGTCGTAGCAATAGAATTATACACAAATGTTATTATTTTACTCTTTTTTTTTATCATTGTTGATGCCGTTGCCCACTGATAAGGCGGCATATAACTAAGGTACAGGCTAAGAGCATGTACGTTTATCTCTATGTTTGTATGTGTATGTTAAAGTTTTAAAATACATATAAACGCTGCTGTTGATTTAAAATAAAACGTATAAAATGAACAAGAAAAAAAATTGTTAAAATAATTTGTAGTTTTGACTTTAATTTAGGGCATGCTGCTAGCAGAACACTGATGTTTAATCTGGTTTCAAGGTATAAATATATCGAGTTATAAATATGAATGCGCTAAGAAGGCTTGCTCCGGCAGCAGCAGCAAGAAGGGAACTATTGCGGCGCAGCCGAAATGCGATATAAAATATGATTTTCATTCATTTTTATCCTCTTTTGTGTGTTTTTTGTTGTTTTTTTTTTTTTTGGTTATTTTCTCAGTTAATCCGACTTAATGTAGACATATTTATTTAGAGTCTAATCAATAGTAATTGTATTCAATGTTGCACAAAACGAATTCCTAACGTTCAGTTGGAAAGCATCGCCATTTCGTTTATCATTTTTTGGCCAATTCAGCGGATAGCCAGTCTAAGCCTTCGTATAAGCCGTGTCCCCGGGTTGCACAAGTTGCTTGGATGAACCACTGTGAAATGGGAGAGAGAAATTTAGCTTAGCCGTGTGGCAGAAATTGCTCAGAAAGATTCTAACTACATACGTGGCGATTCCTCAATTGATTGAGGCGAAGCTTATCAGTTAGATCGGCGGCACTCATGGCATCGGGCAGATCCTGTTTGTTTGCAAGAACCAAGAGCACGGCATCCCGTAGCTCATCCTCTTGAAGCTGCAACGACAGAACAGATACAGCCAGCTTTTGAAGGATGTGTTTAATAAATGGCTTGGGGAAGTCACCTACCATGTTTTGTAGTTCCTTTTCAGCCTCAGTGATACGGTCACGATCATTGGAATCGACCACAAAAATCAGGCCTTGCGTGTTTTGGAAATAATGGCGCCAGAGCGGGCGAATTTTGTCCTGGCCGCCGACGTCCCACACCGTAAAGCATATATTTTTGTATTCGACAGTCTCCACATTGAAACCAATTGTCGGAATTGATTGGATAATTTCGCCCAGCTTCAGTTTGTACAGGATAGTTGTTTTGCCGGCGGCGTCCAAGCCCACTGTGGACACAAGAGCACCAGTAAAAGCATTAATGTACATACACATATACACATGTAAATGTTGAGATTCGCTCAAGGCAGCGGCGGCTTGCTTTAACAACCACAATAGAATGGAGTTCAATGGAGTGTACGCGTGGAACACGTCCACCAATTGAATTGCACGTCCATGCTATCTCTATTGTGGGCTGAACCCGCTGCCGCTGCCAAAAATTACTCATGCACACGAAAACAGAACGTACCCATCAGAATGCGCATTTGTTTTTTGCCGAAGAGGCGTGTCAACAGGCTGGAAATTGTTAATCCCATGTTGCGTGTCACAATCAAAGATCCTTAAGTAAATTGGGGGCGAGGATCTAAAGCAATCGGATAAGGATCTAGAATGTCGAGTCTTTCACAGACAATTTTTATAAAAAAAATTGACGTGTAACGATAGCCGATAGACGATTAAAATAGGGCCGCCTCTGATGAGGTCGCTATCGACTACGCTACGAAGTTTGGAAAACGCTATACAGCACTAGCAGCGCTGGCGTTAAGTGCTGCCCAGCTAAAGCGTAAATACAAATACAGTGCTGCCAGTACACAAAATGGCACAGAAAAAGAAAACCGGGCTGAAGACGAAATAACGGATAAGCTCATGAATCACATTTATATAAGAAAAAGTAACCATTAGCCGGCATAACTTTTCATTATCATACTGCTGAAGCTTAATGCAAATGATGATCGCAGTGTTTAGAAATAAACAATAAATAACATATGAAAACAGATGGAAGGAAAGTGGCCATTTAGATTATGTTGCCGCAATGATTTGTTGTTACAACAAACAGCTAACTCTATTAATTGATCAAAAAACAGGAGGGGCAGGGGTTGGAAGGGATAGGGTGTTAGCTAAGGAGTTGATTGAACAAATGTCATTCCTCACCATCCACAAGGCGTATCGTACGACCTCCACAGACCTCCATTCCCTTACGAAATGGCCAACATTAAAACGAATCGAAGCGAAAACTTAAAAGCGAACCTCCACGATTGCATTATTTCTATTTACATACAAAGTATGTTTGCATGTACATATGTACATATTGATGTATGCATGTATATGTATATTGAAGTGGAATATACCCAAATGGCATACTTGCTTGCTAGCTTACTGGCCGTCCCCGTTCAAAGCACAGCACAAAGCTTCGATTGTTGGTCGTTGTTGGTCGGTTGTCATTGTCTATGCGTTACCAACTTGCCGCTGCAGCTCGTGAGGGGCATGGGCATTGGGCAGGCCGACCAAATCACAACCACAACCACCATCACCACCAACCACTACACATAATAATAAAAAGCTTAAACTCTCGAATCAACACCAACTTTGGCTATAAATACCGGTGGCGCAGACAAGCCGAGCTTTAATTCGGTGTTCACTTTCGCTTGGAGCGGACTACTTTCGAGTCGGCGCTAACGTCGTTCTCTGCTTGCTGCCTGCTGCTACCTGATATTGTCGATTCGATCCTCAAAGAGCAAAGAAACGTCTTTGCATTTCAAAAACACACAAAAGAAAACAAAAACAAACCCGAAAATGAAGGCTTTCATTACTTTTGCCGCCGCAATTGTTTTGACTCTCTCCACGGCTACTTTGGCAGAGGATGCGGCTCAAGCTCAAGCTGATGGTGAAATCAAGATTTACAAACGTCTTATTCCCGCTGATGTGCTAAGAGGTGAGTCAGCAGCCCACGTCTCGAGGGCTCATTACAAAATTAAACACGTACATGAATGATGCATTATTGTTTTTGTATTTTAAAACTTGTATTCAGGTAGCTAAGCTAAATTGCTAATGAAATGGTTTGGTGATTTTTTTGTTTTTTTTTTTTTTTTTGTTTTTAAATCTGATTTCGAGTTTGCATGTAGAATTATGAATTAGCCAAAAGAAACTCAAAACAAGTTTCGGGTTAGTAATGCTGTTGATGTTGTGGTTGACGTTGATGTGTTTTAATTTTATTAAAACTATTCCACTTTTGCATTAAAGCATTAAATTCCCAGAAATATTTGCATATTCGTTTTCGTACGAATTCATGGATTTAAGTTTAACGATCGCACAAAAAAGCACGCACATGAGCTGTGAGAAAACCCTTCAAGGTTTATTACGGTTAGAAGAGGCCAATTAACACCCGTCACCAGCATCGTCGTTAACCATTGCGATGACGGTGGTGATGGTGATTTTTTTGTTGCTGTTGCTGTTGCTTTTGTGTTGACTATTTCGCGGTCGTTGTCGCAGTTGTGCGAAAGCGAAAGCCAGTTTTGAACGCCCGCTAACGCCCCCAGCCTCCAGCCTCTGGCCACGAGACTCTGCAAACAGCCAGCTGCCAACTGCCAACTGCCAACAGTCAACAGCCAACTGCAGTTTCGCTCGAGCGCTTTTAAAAAGCATTCGAGTACAACGCCAACGCTATACTTGTAGCTACTTAACCAACCAACCAATATATGCAGACTTGTCTGTCAGTCCGTCCTTCTGTCTGTCGGTTTGTTTGATTGTTTGTTGTAGTCTGGCACAAGGTCATTCATTTGCTAGGGCCAGCCAAGTGGTGCACATCATGACTAACGTACCATGCAACAACAACAATAACGGCAACAACACTGACGACGACACAGATCATTGCAAACTATTAACACTAGCATTCCCATTCCCATGCCAATTATGAGGTGTTGCATCAAAGACATTAACTTACGCAATGCCCAATCCAATCCACTTCACTTCACTCCACGCTCCACTCTCCACTCTCCACTTCCCTCATTTCCACAATTTGAGTTTCGCCTTAAATGTGCACGAATTAGTTGTAATCCTTAAATGTAAGGTGCTTTGCGAACCAGTTCGCTGCCAGCGGTTGCACAACTTTTGAGCATTTGGAAAAGTTGGACGAACAACTCTAACTTGCAAGTTGATTTCTAAATGATTTTTCATTAATTTTTCTCTCATCCCCCTGCAGATTTCCCGGGCATGTGCTTTGCCTCCACTCGTTGCGCCACCGTGGAACCGGGCAAGTCCTGGGATCTGACGCCTTTCTGCGGTCGCTCCACTTGTGTGCAGAATGAGGAGAATCCCGCCAAGTAATGCACAACAATCAGCAATTTTTTCGAATTTCCTCTCAAAATATATTTATAGGCTCCTCGAGCTCGTGGAGGATTGCGGTCCCCTGCCCTTGGCCAACGATAAATGCAAATTGGACACGGATAAGACCAACAAGACGGCGCCCTTCCCCTACTGCTGCCCCAAGTTCACCTGCGAGGATGGCGTGAAATTGGAGTATCCTGAAATTGCAACGGAGGAGCCCAAGAAGGCTGAATCGTCGTAGATGAAAGATGAAAGCGTGATATATTGAATCTTCTACATGTTTATTCACCACCACCGCTAACAGCTTAAAACATCGTATCTTTGTATTTTTTTTCTTTTTTTTTACTTGCTCGTTTGTATGTTTGCATGTATGTATATGTACCTCTAAATGCGCAGGGAGGGCCTGTGTACGGGATCTTTCGGATCGCTGAGAGGCCCTCCTTGAGCCGTTTTAGGTGCGACTCAACGAAACAACTACAGTTCGGAGAACATTTTTTGTAAAATAAATCCCATGTGATTCATTTGAATCTGTCGACTTTTCGATCAAATTAATGTGGCGGGCTCAAAGCAAATTCCCCTACACCGTTGACCTCCACCTCCACCTCCCCTCCCGCTCCACAAGCTAGTGCCATGAGTCAGCGGAGCGGGCATGTCACGGGTCGCTACGCTTGCGCAGTGGAAACTTCGAGCAAGTTTCATTGAAAACCAAGAGCTTTTGCCTCCTTCCCACCGTGCCCCACCCGCCCCCATGCAGCCGATCTAATTGCATATCCACAATGTATGGTTGGCGGGTGTTGTTGGCTCACAAAATTAGCATTTGGCTGAAGTCGAATGGCCGGCATTCATCGCTGAAATATAAGGAAGCTTTCAGGGCTAAAAATATGTGCCTATTTGTATGATCTCTTTGTTAACATACTCGTATGTTTACATACAATGTATGTATGTAGTATGTACATACATATATACAGTGAAAACTCTCTTGCCGGACACTCATGGTCGGCCAATTTTTGTCCGTCCAAGGGGAGTGTCCGCTTAAGGGGATACGTAAATACTTTAAACACCAATAGAATGTTTTAGAAAAAACGTCCGCCGAAGAGAGTGCCCGGATGAAAGTGGTGTCCGTTAAGGGAGTCTTCAATGTACATGTGTATGTATATATTTATTATTTACACATACAATTTGGGCCGAACTGAAAAGTCGGTTTACGAATAGGTAATGCCATTTTTTCAATGGAAATACGCTTTCTAGGAACTGTGGTTACTGTTACGCCTCCCTATCATGACTTGACAGTTTAGCGGCTATTTGCAATTTGTTTGCATTAGTGGATAGTTGCGCCCATTTGCCGGTAGATGGCGAATTGCAAATTTGAAACCGGTGAATTGCTGCATTCCTGTTCGTTTTCAAAGTTGGCCGCTAGGTGGCAACAGCAAATTTATTGTCAATTTTGCACAAAAATAGAGCATCAGCTTTAATCGCAAAATAAATGTACATTAAATGAATTCTCTTTATTATTGTTAGGTATTGAGAATGGGCGCAGTATCCAGAAAGCGATTGCTTCATCTAAATCACAATTTTTGAAAGGTAATAGGCCTAATATATTGAAGAAACAAAAGCTGTTCAGCTTGTTCTCCGAAGCCTAAAGAAAGAGCAAGTTTATTATTATTCGCTGCATTCCCCTACACCCCCGCCAATAAGTCTTGGAACACCTGTACCTCAAGGGGTGGACAAGCTAGAAGTAACAAACTTAGTTTGATATTTTCCCTTAGTCTGGCAAGTGAAACGCCAATGTTTTGTTTGAATGGACCCGCTTACACATTAACCACCAACTGCAGCTTGTACTTACAATTTATATTATGTTACATCGATGTTCTTCAAGTAGTGATGTGCAGTGCAACCGGATGTTGTACAGAAGGTACTTGAGGGTCGAGCTTGTCCCATGGTAGCAAAGGGTAAGCTATCGTTTTTGTCCTCATTTCAGAGGAAGCTTTTAAACTGTGAGCTATGTCAGTTGTTTTTTATTTATTGAATTGACGATTTTATATAAACTCCAATAAAAATTGGATCTCATTATATTCTTTTATTTTTATTAAATGTACAATATTTAAAAAAAACTAAGTTAAAACTTTAAAAAAATTGTGCAAATTATTGTATAAGTTGCTTAGATTTGAAGATATTCAACATATTTGGGGGTAATTTAATTTGATGCTGGAACCACTTTCGAATTTGGCATTTATTTTAGAATTCGATTAAATAAAACTTTTTTGAGAACTCGCTGAGAACATCTACAATGCCTAAATGAATCCCCAATATACATATGTGTATTTTTACCAAATTAAGGTTTTAAGGGCGCTCCACTTCATGATTTTCATACGTGTCGCTTGAAGGAATAGCGAAATTGATCAATTTCGCCTTCCTTTGCGATTCTCACACGAAGCACATGTGTAGCAGCTTTAAAACTCATGTTTTCAGTTTTCCCGGTGTCAAATCGAGCTTATAAAGCTTGCTATCAACTTCCTTAGGGTGCGCTCTCCTCCGCAATTCTCATACAAATAACTATTTAAAATCGATTGAGACAAGACTAATTTATTTTTTATCGCAGCTATTACCTTTTTCAGCCACTTATGTCTGCTAAATAGCTTAGTTTCTTCCATTCGAAATTGAACTATAGTTTTAGTTGCGTTTTTCAACTTGATGATAATGGGAAGAGGTACTTGAAAAGGGCCCTATGAAAGAGTTATTAAGAGCATCGTTTTCTAAAATATATTCCTAAGCTTTTACAATGCTTTATAAAATTCCTTAGATATTTAATTCGGATATATCAAAGCTATCAAAGAGAACAGAGTTAAATAAAAAGACGCCAGTTACTCTACGCGAAGTTACCGCCTCCATTATCTTAAGGCAAAGATTCTGTGTTTGAGATCTCACTCAGGCCCAGCAATACCCGATTGAGGAGGTGATACAGTCAAGCCGCCATTTTGTGAAGCAGCCAAAGCTCCTCCTATGTAACCTGTTTTACCTTTCAAGATGTGCCCGAATGCAAGCGCGACCACACACACACACACATGCACAACCCACTCACACTCTTGTGCTTCGTGGACAAAGAAGATTGTCTCTTTCTATCTTGCAGAGGGCTCGATGGTATGCGAGAGTAAGTTTGGCCACTGAGAGAGCGTAAGCTTTAACACTTTGTTGCCAGAACCGCAAATCGATTTGACTAGTGAATTCAACAGCGGAGTTTTCGTAACATCTCGAGGTGCGGAATTGGCTGCAGTGCGGTATTCGTTGCGACTGTCAATACACATGTATGATTTTTATAAATGTCTTTTTATTAATAAAATACTACTCTGAATAGCAATTAAGACAAGCAACCCACAAGAAAGATTTAGAGCAATCAAACAAACAAATCAAGTATTTAAGACATGCCGAAATGTATGCAAATATATAAAAAAAAAATCTTTAATTGTAAAACAAAAAAGGGAACAATAGTTCAATCTGGTCGCAGCTCCGAAAAACAAAGCGTTCGTGAGCTCATGATGCAATTTATAAAGTCTGGGATTAGTTAAAAGACCTTTTTGAAAAAGGTATATGGCCAAAACGATTCAGCACAGCCTGTTCACATTGGCGAATTCGATCAAATTTGTCGAAATTAATTGAGCGAAAAGCTCAAGTGAATTTAGGAATTACATTTCAGTTCCTAAGGACTAATATACTTGTATAAAGAAAATTGATCATTTTGCACAAATTGGAAGTGCAATTGATATGATTGAAATCCTAAAGTTAATTAAAATTACCAATTAGTTTTACACATTTCAGTGGAATTGCTTTTGCCTCTTTATGTATATTGTTTTGCGTGCTGTCTATAAAATCCAATTGTCGATTGCTCGCTCTATTCAATGCAGATTGAATCCAATATGTGTGTTCGAAAATGGGAATTATGCGACATTTTATTCGAAAATTGAAGCCGGAAAGGTAAATGTTTCCATAAACGTGATCCTTTTTCAACACAGTTTTGCTAATGAAAGTGATTTCTTTCTAAGCCTATAAAATATCTGTGATGATAGCTGTCTATTTGTGATCGAGAAGGAGTCCTTATATCCTCGTTTGCGTTGCAGGCTTCACAATAATGGAAAAATACCTTTGAAGAGTGCTTAAATGCGTCTAAACGGGTTAATCACACACACACACACATGGGCAGACTTATGGCGGGTGTGCCACACACACTCGCACAACCAGTACACGCACACACAGAAACGACCGAAAAAAGCCATGGTTAGTACCGGTTCTTGGCGTTTTCTCTTTATTGTTGAATGTCCGTCGAGTATAGGCGATTACGATGGAATGTCTTCATTAGTAGTGAGCAAAGTTGCTCCGCTTGTCTGTCCGTTCAGCATTAAATGCACAAAAGTGCGAATTTTCGGAACAAAATTTAATTTCAGGCGATGGGCAGCTATACATTTTGATAGCACACATATACTATGTGTGTGTGTGTGTGACACAAGTCGTAAATTTATAACTTTTATGATTTAAATATAAACATGTTACAAAGCTTAATCTTAAACCTTTTATTGGCCTTTTTGAGTATGCGTTTTACGCCTTACACCTTAATGCGTTAATGCTAGAAATTTGAATTCCAGTCAAATAAGTTCAGAAAATTAATACGATATATGCATCTAATCTTGTTGACGCCCAAACGACAAGCCTTAATAATTTGAAAATAAACCAAAGATTGAGTTATAATATTTATATATATAATATTTTTTTTTTATCATTTTAAAAATACGCAAAGGATTGTTAACGAGATTTTTAAATCAACATGAAGTTGATTTTGAACAAAACATTCAGAACTGGCGAGTGCTGAAAAACGTTTGATTTAATATTGAAAATCTGTTTAAAAATGCTAACTGCGGATCATAATTATTTACTATATATAGACAATTGTTAATTTTAATATTATTCATTTGAATTCAAATGCTGTTCGCTGAACATTCAACATTTAATATGCAAACTGCGCGAAACTCACTTTTGTGAATATTTGAATACAATATTGTTGCTGCAGATGCTGAAATTAAGACTCAACAATATTTTATACCGTTTCTATCAAAAACGAGTATTTGAAAACGTTGATGATTAATGCTTGAACAAATGTGCATTGTTGTGATATGAATAGGGATTGTGGGAAGAGGGAAAATGATATTCCAGTACTAAAATATTTTATAAAATGAAATATATGAAATATTTTATTTTTTAAACTTATTCGAAAATGTGAAATATTTGCATAGCAAATAAAAACAAGCAATTCGATTGCTAATCACATCCTATGCAATAAATTATTCCCCTTTTTGGTTGGTAAAGCGTAATATTCACATTTTAAATGAAGGTTTCGAAGGAGATGTAATACAATTAATACAAGATTAAATAGGAAGGGACTATTTTGCATTTTGTTAATGAAGATTGGATTGTGTTTCCAATGATTATGCGGAAAAGGAGTAGGGCGAAATAAAGAGTCAGGTGTAGTCTCTGGTTCCTT